AGTAAAGGGGCTGAATAATTTTGCACGCCCAATTATTCAGTTTTTTATTTGTTAAAAAAGTTTGAAATATCCAATAAATTTCGTTCCACTTCATGATTGTGTCCCACTTGTTGTTGATTCTTCACAAAAAATTACAGTTTTATATCTTTATGTTTGAAGCCTGAAATGTGGCAAAAGGTCGCAAAGTTCAAGGGGGCCGAATACTTTCGCAAGGCACTGTAAAAAGACTATAGCTCACATACTGATTTGATGCTTCAAAAATGATATTTATTCAGGCCAAGTTGCCCCGCCAACAACGTTTCGACATGTTGCACTGCTAGATACTTGTAATTGTTAGCCTAATAAGGATTACTCAACCAATTATGGGATGTATTTGTAACCCACCTCATAAAAGGGTACAGGTGTGTTATAATTAGGTTTAATGGTTTCACGTATCAAACGCTTTATTTTGAAAACCGGAAGTTTTATTTTTGTAATCACAGGAGAGGAAGTCGTGCCACTGTGTAAAAGACGTAATGTGAAAAACATGGTGTACGGTTAAACGCATGCTAAACAAAGAGGAAAGAAAAAGTCCATAAGAACTTCTTAAAACAGAAAAAAAAAACTGGAAACTCGTCTTAAGTTCGAGGGAGCTCGAGCTTAACGTCAGACAACCTGAAGGAGTAAAGCTTTAGGTGTTGAAAAACAGAACCCTTGGTCAAGTCTTTTTTTTGATTTCCCTGGCGGGAAAGGAGCATGGAAGATCATCAGCAGCCGTCCGAGGGGGGCGACTGAACCTTGTGTGATACAGAACTTGGACCCAGAGATACCGACTTTTGACTAATTGACTTTCTGAGCTTGGACTGACTTGAACATTGAGGAGCCACAAGTAGCATTCCCAACAAAAAAAAAGGGGAACCTGAACTTTAACTCCATCCATTTAAAGGACTATTTACTTTGGTTAAAAAGGGCCCATTTAATTTTGTTGTTGTTATATGGTATACTGTTGTTCAAATATTCTTCACTAAAAATTCATTGTGCTAAGTACAGCGTGTGTTGGTTATTGCTCCATCTTTAAGCTCCTACGAACCTAGAGCGTGTACATACCCTGAAGTGGGTTACATATTTATCATGGAATGTAGCAGTATTTTAATGTGTATAAATGTGTGTTTGTATCGTAACATGTCACTGTGGGTGGGTGAAAATATTGTGTGGGAAAACTGGGGTTATGTTGTTTATATGCTGATTGTTCTGGGTGTGGTGTCACAACTGACATCAATTTGCAGGAGCCTATATGTATCTCAGGTCAGAGTACAAACTACGAATACCTGATGAAGACTTAATGCCAAAACGTTGTTGGTGTGCCAGCTTAGCCTGAATAAATGTAGTTTTTAGCATAAAATCTGTGTGCAGTCTCTAATCTTTTTACTTTACTACTACTTGGTTAACTGACCGTGTCTCAGATTATATCATTCTGGCTCACATACAGTACATTAATTTTTTTTTGATCAATTAGGAAATATGCATAGTGTAATCAGCTTCATTGTTAGAAGTGTCATTCTTCCTGTTGCATGATGTGTGTAAACCTTCCTCAGTGGTCCTCATTATATCTTGCCTGTGTGTTTCTCTTGTCTGTCTTTTTTCACCTCTTCCATTGCTCTTGACTGCCTTCCTTGCCTTGTATTTTGCCTTCCCTCCCTACCTCTGCCTCTCATGTGGTTGCACTTGCTGTTTAAAAGCCACCCTGAAAATGTTTCCCCGTGTGAGGAACAGCCTGAAGGACAGAGACAAATTCAAGTCACTCTTCCATCGTTCCATGTGTAAGAAAGACTTTAGTCCAGTGTATGCCTTCATCTTGACGTTAGACTTTTAAACTCCTTACTTAATTATACCAGAGTCAATGTGTTATTATATTTTCCATTATTTATCACATGCCATAATGTTAACATAACACTGGCTTAAATAGGATTCATTGTCAACAAGGTGTAAAATCAGTGGTACTGTGTCCATTCATGCCAACCTCATGTCACCTCATGTCAATGAAATTATTTATATCATAAATTTAAGCATCTGCAGCAGTAACTTTCAACCAGAGTTGCTGCATTTGAAGACAAGCTGGGGTATTTTATTAAAGCAATAGAGGACAAAGAAATGCTGCATTGCAGTGGGACAGTGGTGCTTCAGGAGCTCTGCCCCACCAGGAAACAGCTGTATATAGAGTGTAATGCAATAATTCTGCTCTATAAAGCAATACTGTGCTAAGGAGAAGAAAAACCCTTATAACATCCATGACCAGTTTGCCTGTCTATCCCCTTCCTCATCCACCTCCCACTTCTTTGATCCCTTGGGGCACCAATGCAGCCCTGACCAGCTTGATGCGCCCCTCCACCTGGTTCGAGGAGGAGCAGTGGGCAAACAGCTCACAGGAGCCGGAAGGGTCAGAGGCTGATGTGGAGGAGGACAGGAGGGACGCACTGACCTCATCCCTTACCACATCCATCTTGTCCATCTTCCACCTTCATCATGCCACCACTCCACCATCTGACCATCACCACACCACCACCATTACAACCAGTGATACCAGTGTAACTGTTCCAGGTGTGCCTGAGCTCTGGGTGACAGGTACAGTAGAGGCATTCATGAGCTTCTGCTTTAAATCTCACCATCATTAGATAGATGCTAGAATGAAGTGTAGAGAAGATAAACACAACACTCTCATGCTTTTTCCCGTTTTAAGCGTACAAGCTCAAACCCTCCAGTGATTTCTCGTTTTATGTCCCACAGACAAAGATTCAAATGACAGCACTGTGCCATCTGGATTTGAGGACAATCATGACCTACGTAATCATGGTAAAATCCTCTAAGTACTTGTTTAGAGGCTTCAGCAAGCACACAGATGTATGACCAGCTCGGGAACTAGACTAAATCCATCAAATCTCAATCATGACCTTGTTTCATATTAAGCTCTATGCCAACAACTGTTTTAGGAAGAATTGATGCTGCTCCCCCCATTGGTCAATAAGAATACTGTTATACAACTAACAGATATGTTCAGGATGGAAGAAAAACTGTGTATACAGAGTTTATATTGTATTGTAGCTCTTTATAAAAACAGTCATATTCTCTTTCCAGGGTTGGGTGGTGTTCAGAGTCGAGCCCAAAGTGAGAGCAGTGGTGAGTTCAACCTAAGCCTGGAAAATGAGCCATGGTCCAATGGCAACAGCCCCGTCCAGCACCACCCGTCACACAGTTCCTCCCCTTCTTACCAGCCACCCAGTGATACCTCCACCCCTCAACAAACACAGAAGCTGCAGAACAAGAAGAAAGCTACTACCATGCCCATCACCAGCAGTCAGAACTCAGATTACCACTCTGCACCAAAACAAAGGGATCCTGGGTCCACTGAGGATTTCTGGCTTACAAGGCATACAAAAAGCATCAGGAGGGGTTCAAGAGAGAAAGTGACATCTGATTCAGGTGACACAGTCAAAATGAACGCAGGGCTCAGTGGAATGAATTCAAATGCTGAAACCACCCAGGCCTCAGTTTGCTCCCCTGTTGCCATGCTTTATGTCCAGGGGAAGTCGTCCTCCATGTCTGGCTGCCTCAATTGCTTTTCCACCCCTCTGGGGAAAGAGGGAAGACTGAAAGGGCCTGGGTCCCCTAAGAGACTCCCCCGTGCCAGCAGTGTAATTTCTATAGCAGAGGGCTCATCCCGACGTGCCAGTGTCAACAGTGAATGCAGGGTGGCGGTCAAGCCCACATTTCAGAAGAAAGCAATTATCAGAATGAAACAGTGAGTCAGAGTCAACAACCACACCCAGAGAGTAAAAACAGTGAACCTGAGCTAGTTCCTCCATTCAAACCTCCCAGAGACCAAGCAGTCATTGTTCCCACAGTCTACCCCAAATCCCCATTGCAGGAGTCACTTCTCTGCTCCTCATTCACTTTCAACTCTGTCTTCTCAAACACCATCTTCAGTGATTCAGTTGTGACTACCAGTACTAATCTGGATGCACCTGACAACAGCCAGGCCTTCCTCTGTCTGAATCCTTCTCTGGTACAAAATGGTCCACTTGAGAGCCAGGAGTCCTCTCAGAGGACATCACAAACACTGCTCAGTGTGGAAGATGAGCAGAGTCAAAATGCAGAACATGCTGCTTGTTTGGAAGAGAAGTCACTCACTGTTGCATGAAGGCAGCCGTCACATTTTTGAATAGGCTTATGTTTCATTCAAATTAAGCTGGTGGCTGCAAGATCACGGTTCATCACATCAACCAAAGCACACAATTATAAGTCAACTGTAATTGAATTGTATTTCGCTGATTATGAGGAGTTGGTGCATGCAATAAAAACACACTCAGATGTTTATGATAATCCCTTTTATTGGCCAAGTATGTTACACACACAAGGAATTTGTCCCCAGTAGAGAACCAAGGCAGCCATCTGCTGTGTGAACTCTCACACACACCGAATGGTGCCACTGTCCCTGCAAGGTGCTGCTCTGGCCATCAGGAGCAACTTAGGGTTCAGTGTCTTGCTCGAAGAACACTGCGACATGTGAACTGAGCCACAGCCACTTATGATTTCTTTCACAATGCTTTACTAACATCACCAGGATTTACTTTATATTATCCAATAGTTGACAGTATTATTCTGTTCAGGCTTTCCACATTTTACATAATGATCTAAAATAATATTCTATTTTACCCATTAAGAATTAGATTGATATTGTGACCCCAGCTAGTTTACCTTTACTTTGCCAAACTGACAGCCTTGTACTGTGTATATTTGTGTTTGCCAAAACATTTTGTTTGTTTCTATTTATGCTCTTCTGTTACTCAGAGATATCTTAGACTGTTATACATCGATTGCTCTCTCTTTGATTTGAATTTGAACCTGGGAAGAAAAGTGATGTTCATATGTGAAAACGTGTAAATAAAATATAAAATATTATGCATTCCTTAGTTCTCTTTTCCTTAAATAAAGAAACCCCTGTGTTATCGCCTATGTTGTCATCCTTTTCACCGTGCTCGCATTAGTGCCCGTACATTGTTCCTATTGGATGTGAGTTCAATCACGTGAGTAAGTGCGGAAGTGGAACATGTACAGTCAAAAACAAAACATACGGGGGTGTAGTTGAGTTAGTCGGGACTATCTTTATTCAGATCTGCTGTAGCGTTTTTCTAAGCTGAATTGTTACCGTATAACTCGACAGTTACACCTGGGGTTGGGCACGATGTTGAGCGCCGCCGCCGCGGACAGGAACAAGGGGCACATCCTGGCGGTGCTCCGAGAGAGCGTGAACACCGGGAAACCTCTGCAGGCTCTGGAGATCGCCTCTGGTACCGGGCAGCATGTTATACACTTCGCTCAGGCCCTGCGGAATATAATCTGGCAACCCTCCGAGTATGACCGACAGACTCTTGCCAGGTAAACACAGGTTGTGTGTACCACTTTGCAACAATCTGTATTATAAACTAGGGAATTTACGGTAATAATTCTGCGTAATACCCGCTTAAATGTGAAACACTTGTCATTTAACTCTGGTATTACGGTAGTTACTTTTAGAGGAATACAGTTATAGGCTGAATGTTACTAATACTACTGGTTCCCGGACATATGTAGGCATACTATGTTGGTAAAATGTGTTTGGTTTTAGGGTCCCTGCATTAATAGTAATGTCTTTTGTTTCCATTCTCAGTATAGAAGCGTACAGAGCTGGCTACCCAATGAACAATGTGAAGCCTGCCATCCACCTGGATGTTTCTTTGCCCCATCAGTACTGGGGAGGGATCCAGCCAGAGAGCTTCGACCTGGTTGTCAACATCAACATGATCCACATCTCTCCAATGGCTTGTACAGAGGTAGGGCCAAAGGAGGGTTTATATGCTCATACTGTTAATGGCCTTATCAAAGGCCCTCATGTCCTGTTACCCAAAACTGGATTACTAACTGTCAAAACACACAACTGTCCCAGGACTCCAGGAGGCTCAAGCTTCAGTGTGTGACAGTGCATTTGTAGTATTCTGATAAATTGCACGTTTGATTGTTTGCACAACTAAATTGCACAATATAAACCAGGGGTGGCCAATTCCGGTCCTCAAGGGCTGCTGTCTTGCTTGTTTTGCAACTATCCCTGCCTGACCTGCTGCTGATTACCTGGCTCAGGTGTGTTCAGCCAGTCAGAAGCTGGAAGATACCAATTCACTTTATCTTTCCTAACTCCCTCTTGTCTGTCACAGTCCTTATCGAACAGGCAGCTCCGTTCTGCTCCGAGCGTCTGTGCCAGCACTAAAAAGCTGCTCACATGCAGCATGGTAAAATACAAATAAAAAAAAACATTTCTTTAACCACACACAAAAATGGCTAAATAACTGCTTGAACTAACTACACAGACTGCTAATTTATGTAGTTCACTGCTCCACAACACTGTTTATTGCCTATGAATTCAACTGCTCATTTGTAAGAGAAAGGTTACATTATTTCTTCTTCAGAATGTACATAGTCTGGCTTTAAATGTTGTAAAGTGGTCAGTGTGATCCGGGTCCTGGTGTTCAGAATCCATAAAATGGTAATTTTGCTGAGTCTATATACACTCCTTCTGACTTCTAAGTACTCAGATAATTACTGTAAGCACTGTCCCTTTACAATTGCTGCCTCAGGTCTTTAAGTGTATAAAAGAGACAAAGGACAAAGGGGGCTGCAGTAGTTGCCCCTCCTGCCACTCAACCCACATGCTAGTGCCTTAAGGAATTACTCTTTTCTTGCAGGGTTTATTCAGAGGGGCGGGAGCAGTGTTGAAGCCGCGAGGTCTTCTATTGACATATGGGGTGAGTGCAACAACATTTCACATCGTAGACACTGTCATTCAGCACATGCTGTTATCCGATGTAAACATCAGAGCACAGCGTCATATGCTACATGAATTTTTTTTTGTTGCTGTACCCCCAGCCCTATGCAGTAAATGGTCAGATTACCCCCCAAAGCAATGTTGACTTTAACTACAGCCTGCGACAGAGGTAAAGTACTCTGTTATCTGAATCTTTTAATGCTCCATGGAAGTTAAGTCTGAGGGATTTAAGTTCTTTTCTTCATAAATATATGAGTAGTCATGAATGTATGTTAATAAAATATGTATGAATGTATATTAAGTATGAAATTATGTTAATAAAATCAAATATTCAGTAGCATCTATTGTTCTGTATAAGAGAGAGCACAGCATGTGATGTACAGCATCAAAATGTTAAGGATGCGTTTTTTTTCTCATCTATGTGATAACTACTGCAGATGTGACTGTGGGATATTTAAAAGCTATATATTTTTTAATCTTACAGGAACCCAGAGTGGGGCCTACGGGATATCTCCCTCCTCAGCTCTTTAGCACAAAAGAATGGCTTATTCCTAGAGAAAATAGTGAGTGAACAGCTCATTTAAGCATCTGACACAATGTTTATCTTTGAAATTATCAGCTTGCTAAAATATGGTTAAAATGTTTTATTTCCTAGGTGGACATGCCAGCAAACAACAAGTGTCTTCTGTTCAGGAAGGAGAGTGTGGTGTGAAGTTTGCTGCTGTTCCTTCTCTGCTTGCAGAGCAGGGTGGTCAAAGCGCCTTAACTTCATCTGAAGCTCAGATATGTGCGTTGCCAAATATCCCAGAACTGGAAATGAATGAGTTTCTACATGTTCATGAAATCATTACATGAAATCGTTTGAGCCACAACTGTTATACTCCAATATATGATACACAGTATTCTTCAGTATTGCACACTTAAAATGAATAAGGCTCACAGCTGTATGTTGCCTGTATAATACATATACTTTAAAACAGCCGTATACTCTTTTTTTTAAGTTATTTATTCAGATTACAAACTGTTGGTAAAACTTAGCAGAAGTGCTTTGCTGAGAGAATGTGCTGTACATTACGTCTTGCAAGTATACACAACAAAAGTGATGCTATATAAAATACCTGTGTAAATGACTAATATAAAGAGCTCAATACAATAATAAATGTAATGCAATAAAATAGAAAACAAAATAGAGCTGCTGTTCCACCTACTGTCTTTTCTTCTCAGAATATAATACAAACAAACACATGAAAAATATCTATATTAAAACCTTTTTAAAAAGAGCATTTCAACATTGGTATAAATGGGCTCACAACACATCTGGAATGTGTAGTACAACCTGTGGTGTAATGAATATACTGTATAGTGTACAAATTACCTCATAACTTCATAAACATACAATAGTGAACATATTTATGTCTTTTGTTATTAAATATCAGCTGTCAGTGCTAAAGGTGACCACAGACCCTCTGTGGGCTAATAAGTCCTGGGATTTTCACGACGCCTTGCAGGCCTTTTTTTCCAGAACCTCTCGTAGCTTCTTCAGTCTGCGTTCAGTTATGGCTCTGACGTAGCTGTCTGACTGGATGATGGCCATGCCGTCCTGCACCGCACCCATCACCAGCAAAGGGTTCTCCTCCATGGTGATGTTGGGACAGGGACAGCTCCAGTCTATCTTGGCAATAGTTACCTCTAGATGTCTGGTATTGAAGAGAGTAAGTCCCATCTTTTCATCTTTCAGGACTTCTTCCAAGCTAAAGCGGGCTAACCCAGAGTCCAGATCCTCAACCAGCTCTGTCAGCCGTCCCACAATAGCAAAGTCGCTTTGGCATAGGCTGGGCACCATTTTCCCCTTCACCCGACAAGTCTTACAAGTTTTCCTTTTGGGTTGTGGGCAGTTGGCCTCACACTCCTTTTTGGTGCGGAAGCTGTTGGCATTCCCGTGGCAGCCACCATAGGCGAAGGCTTGGCACTTTTTCATGAGGGAATTCCAGGCCCAACGTGCCTCCCAAGTCTTGCAGGGACCCTGAACAGCAGGCAGGGAGCAGATGCCCATCCCCTCTCTCTGACAGGAGGCCTTGCACTCCTCATAAGTCTCAAACTGATTACGACTCTCATCGCACCCACCGTTGCTGAAGGCCAGGCAGGAGCCCACCTTGTTGTCATAATACCAATCCACATGACGCTCTCCACTGCACACTCTCAGATCTACTTCAGCCAGACAGTCAGCTGGAGAGAACGGCCGTCCCATGGGCATCTCAGGATCTTCAGAGAAATCATCATCAGCCCGGCGGATCACAGACAATGGATAGTCTGCACGAAGAACCCCCACAGAATTCCGTGCGATGCAGGTGTAGATACCTGTATCCCACACCTGGGCATTGTAAATGACTAGCTGTCCAATGTTGGTGATAACCACGTTGCCATACATCTGATCAGGCCTCATGACCAGCCGTTCACGCCGACCACTCTGTTTCTCCCACGTTACATCAGGTCTGGGGACTCCAATAACGTCACAGTGGAAGCTGACTGTGCCTCCGACATAGATGGACTGGTGGTGAGGGTTGGAGTACAGTGTGGGGGGCATGGGGTCCTCTTGAGAGGATGTTGGGGTAGGATGAGCTGTAGTGTCCTGAGGCACTGGGCTGGTGTGGGGCCCGGCGAGGTAGAAACGACAAGTGACCACAGTCAAAGTCACCCCACGGATACAGGCCTCTGCATCCATATAGCAGCGGTTGAAGTAGGTGAGGCCATCTGAAGCACAGGTGAAGTTGGGTTCTTTTTCACATCTGTCCTGGCACTTGCAGATGGGCTGCCCATCCCAGATGTCACAAGTTGCTCCCTGCTGGCTGCACATAAAGCCATCACAGGTAGCTGTGGAGATGGGGGCATCATCTCCTTGTCCTCCACCCTGCCCTTCTGGCTGTGCAGGGGTGCCATCAGAGAAACGTGCAGCTACACAACTGTTGAGGCCACACACATTAGTGCAGCATTTCTCAAAGTCAGCACAGTCCTGCACACAAAACAAAAACAGCACTTATGAAAGCTAATTAAAATGGACAAAACAGCAATAATATTCAGGTCTGATTATTCTTAATAATTTTCTAACATATGAACATGAACGGCATCACCTCATCGACGTTACATTCCCTCTCACAGGTGCTTTGCGCATCAACCCACAGGTTGGAGCTCAGCTTGTTGGGACAAAATCCTTCGTGTTCAAATTTGGATCCCGCCACACTTGCACACAGGGAAAGTACGGAAAATTTGCAAACCAAGAGCAGCAGGAAATACGCATGTATCCATCCTGATCCTCGTTTACTTGAGTTGGGTACGTTGTGCCACCTTGTATCCTTTATACAGCTATCCTCAAAGAGATGTGTGGGGATTTTACACATTGTGGCTTTCATGCATGAGTCGCTCACCGAGTAATTCCATTCCTCCTTTAGAGCTTAGAAAATTAAAACAACTTTTGTTGTTTTCAGTGGTGGCCGTGCATTCATTGCGTGAACATAAGAGTCAGTTTGTTTTGCGCAAGGAGAAAAGTTGCATTCTCAACGATCAGAAGCAGTTCCGCGGTGGACATAATATATTCCAGAATTGATGTTAAAATACATTAGGAACTAAACAATCGCGTTGAACAACAACCAACAAAAGTCTGCCAACAGTGGTCGACTCCTCAGAGCAGCGAAATAAACGAACCGAGCTGCACAATGGAAGAGAAAGACGCAGCATCAACTCTTAAGCCTGTGAATGGAGGTGGAACCATCCCTGACCGCCCAGATGATCATTCCAGGGTCTCAAACCTTTATGAAGCAGCCCCATGTGCCGAGCAACTGCACAAACGTTGTGAAAACATCAAAGAAAAACGCAAAGCCATGGTGGTGAGCTGCACGCACGGAGCCGCACATTCCGGTGAGAAATCCAATGTTAAGATGTGTCCAGACAGAATTTATAGAGGTGTCCTCCATAAAAAAAAAAGAAGTAATGGGTTGCTCTCTAGTTAAGAGCTGTTGTTACGTTAGTTGTTGATTCTACTTCCATCTTTGGTTAACCCTGGATAACTACAGATGTTTTATGCAAGAAAACTTGCAAATACTTGTTTTCTTGCAAAAACCAAAGAGCAAAACGTAACAACTCGCCTGGGGCAGAACGCGTGAAAACCAAACGCGGGGCGTGTCGCATCATGTCCTGCAGAACATGCCGACTACGTCCGTCTTGTCTAGACGTCGGTCAATTTACCATCGCCCTTCCTTCACACGGAGCTCAGAGATGCCACAGTCAGGCGAGAAGACGTAAAGCATCGCATTTTCAATAGCGTGCAACTCATCTTTGTCCCGGCGCAGCTCCGAGGCGATGAGAAGCAGCTCCCCTCATCTTTTCATTGGAAGTGACCCTGCAACCTTTGCATGACTTTTGACCGCGCTGCATTCATGCGCTGCAGCGATGCGCCGGGTGACCACAGCTGGCCAACACCGAGAGCAGCTAACCAATGCCGCACCCCCCACGGGTTTTATTGCACTTAGGCACCGGAGGCCCCGCGGACAAAGGGAAGAAAAAAAAATTCCCACAATTTGCACAATAACCTTGATAACTCTGACTGCAATGAAATGAAAAATCCCTGCAACATACGCGCAACCTTGTAGATGAATTCTTTATTTTGATGGGTGACCGTTTTCAATTGAGACAAAATGATAATGAATCCCGTATCCAAACCTTTAGAAACACAGCTGTGATAGCAACCATGGATATTAAACGTTTACATATAGTGCTTTTGGCCTCACACCAAAACGCCACATAAAAGAGGCGCCAGTAAGCAATGTGCACCATTTCTATGCCCACACTGACCCTGGGAATGTTTCTGTGGAAATACAGCACACATTAATTAATAAGAATTGGTCAAAATTAACACATTTGTGTAGATTCTTCATTTAATAAAAGAAACCACTTCTGATTTTAAAAACAAAAACGTGTGTCCTGTCTGAAGGCTGTAAGTTCATATGTCATTACATTGTTCTTGTTGTCTAATAAATTTGTAAACCATGGCTATTGTGGTCCCTCCTATTATACACACATTTTTAAGAAGGGTGCATCATAAAAATGAATGAGCAGCAAAAATTACAAATACTCAGACAAGCAGGGCAGCAAAATGTAAAAATAAAAAAAATAAAAAAGCTGATATACCCAATGACTTTCCACCTCAGTCTATTACCACATGTGGCCACAGATGAATATTGGTTTACATGGTAAATGGTTTACATTCATAAATACAGTATATCACGTGTACATAAAATATCCAAATAGCAATCAAATTAAAATGTTCCTCTCTATGATGTCCGGTGAGTTCACACATTTCCTGTTAGCAACCAAGACCCAGTTGCTGAAGGCAAAACACCATGACTGAGCAAACAATCTGCACATGCACGTTTGTACAAGGTTTCCTCATCAACACCAAGCAATCTTTTAAATGCCCTGGAAGTTACGATTCAAAACAAGCATGCTATTAACTGTTTACACCAGTTAAAGTGATGACACAAATTAAAACATTTGATTTAGAGGCACAAAAGGCCTAGGAAAGTCAACAAATGCCTGAATGACTTTGGAGAATGACTGATGGAGGAGGAGGAGGAATTCATTTGGACAGAAATTTAGGGGCACCACAGGACATCCTGCAAACAAGATGAGCCGTCTTGACTTTTCTAGACATTTTCACAGATTAAGTAGCACTAGACTAAGAATGTTTTTCAACTGATAATGCTCGTAAAGTTTTTGTTTTTTAAGTCTAGCACTAGTTTAGGGAAACTAGCCCTGTGTGCATGTGACACTGAATTTAAACCGGTTTTATCCAAAACATAACCAGTCTGAGTTTGAAATAAGTAGCACAGCACCCTTGAGTTTTCCAAGGGAATTTTCTACAGCAGATAAAGGGTGTAAGATACAAATAAGCTGTACGTCAAAGCAGGTCTTCCAAAACATTCAAGACAAGTGTAAGAAGTTCATCCCCAAGAACAATTACCTGACAAAGACCAAAACAACATACAGTATATTTACAACTTCAAATCCAACTTTAAATACCAATAAACAATTAGTTTCCAAATAAAACTAGCTAGCGTCCCTGCACTCATTTGTAGCGTTAATAGATGAGTGGTAATCTTTGATTCACATCTGTTGGTCCCAGGAAAATCTTGTTCTACTTAATCACAGTGAGCTTCTGTAGTAAAGAGTACAGGTAAACGTACATCCACAAGATGGCACCCACAAGCGCAAAGAGAACAGACACTGATACAACCATCCAAGTCAGCTCCCAAAGGTCGAGTTCACAGCTGTATCAGTTTGTGATAAAGACTGCTGGCAGTTCTCTGTGTTCTTCTCTGTGTTCTTCTCTGGCCTCATGATCTCTTGGAGCAACAACACCTTGAATGCTGCCCCTTCACTATGAAATCTTACAGTTCCCCTTGGACGAGGACGAGTTCTTTGGAGGACTCTGTGGAGGCCTGAAGGACTTTGAGCGTTTGAGACTGTTGGCTTTGCTTCCGCCGCTGCCACCACCTGAAGCTGCGTTGTTGGCCACTGAGTAGGAGCGTCCATGCATCATGACTGCATTCATTCCGTTAGCCATGGAGAAAGACTTGAGGTGGGACTTAATAGCCACAGGGAGGGGCAGTTTGTCAATGAGGTGCACCGGTGTGCAGGAGACAATCGAACGGCAACACAGATCTTGGAGGCTGAAGACTGTAGAACAAGACAAAAAGGAATACGGTTAATATGACTATAGGTTATGTAAAATACACTATGAAGTTTAACTCAGCATTGTTAATTTCATCAATAAAAATGTTGGAAAATATTCTTTGACGACCTATTTTTAGGACCAAAAATGAGTAAATCTAAATAAAATGCAAACTTTAAAAAGCAGGAACTGCATCACATGTATCACATTTTTCAGCAAAAAAAAAAAAAAAAACTAACTAAATTATACTGTGATCGACAGAGGAATATGAAGCAATTACTGAATTAATGTGAACTTTATCCAGCAACCTACATGCATCTGTGGTATCTCAAAACGGAGCTCCTGATAAATAAAACAGTTTCCTCTGCCGCCAAAAGTGTCTCTTGTTCAAAAGCTGTTTGACCTGCTGCACTGCGATTGATGAGAAGCATCTTACATTCAATAATGTTCTGTCTTGGAAAAAATGAAGTAATCTAGAATTTACTTACTCAAGATGCAAAAACAAAGTAGGAAACTTCAGGTAGCCTTCTAAATTGACCGAGCGGCTCTGCTTTGTGCTTCCCCTCCCCTTTACAACACAAGCCAGCAGTGGAAGAAGCAGGCTACTCAGATTGTTTACTGAAGTAAATTAGGAGTACCACAGTGTAAAAATACTCTAAGTCTTACATTCAAAATATTACTTACAGTCAGACATTTACAAACACTTAGGGTGAAGTCATTAAAACTGTTTTTTAACCACTCCACAGATGTCGTGATAAACTCTCGTTTTGGCAAGTCCATTAGGACATGTACTTTATGGCCTTTGATGCATATCTTCAAACTCAGTACCTCTTGGTTTCACATCATGGGAAAACCAAATGAAATCAGCCAAACCTCAGGAAAAAAAAAAACTGTGGACCTCCACAAGTCTGGTTCAGAAATTTCCATACACCTGAAGGTACCACATTCATCTGTACAAACAATACTACACACGTCTAAACACCATGGGGCAATGCAGCCATCATACCTCTCAGGAAGGAGACTTCTGTCTCCTAGAGATGAACATACTTTGGTCTGAACAGTACAAATCAATCTCAGAACAACAGCAAAGGACCCTGTGAAGATACTGGAGGTACCAAAGTATCTATATCTAAAATGAATCTTATATCGACATAACCTGAAAGGCTGCTCAGCCAGGAAGAAGCCACTGGTCCGAGATGCCATAAAAAAGGCAGACTACGATTTGCAACTGCGCATGGGGACAAAGATCTTTGCCCCAGAAATGCATACATATTCTCCCTTAACACATCCACAATGAGAACAGTCAGCACATTTCTGTGATTGAGTGCAGTTTCAGTGCCTTCGCCCAACATGGCCCCTGCATTTTAGAGCAGAATACTCATTATTTTGAAAGCTAATTTACTTTATATACTTGATCTTTTTAATCATTCAAATTTGGCTGGGTGGTTAGTAGTCAGTCAATAGTACACAATTAAATGTGCCAAAGAATGGGAGAGCATTCATATAAAAGCTCAGTTAAATGATGTTTACCCATTATTTGGTGCCAAACAGGGGGGTGTCAGGCCATGCCATCATAAATCTTCAGAGCCCCACAATAAGCAACACCATTTTCCAGACCTAACCTCCCCTTAACACAGAGCATCCCTGAACCCTGTCCTCACCCAAGCAAAGAACAGACCTGTGGCTTCACAAACAGCATCAGCGTTGTATTTGTTCAGGTTAAGTGACTGGCCCAACTGGCTTGGAATGGCAGTCACCTTAGAGAGCTGGGTCCGCTCAGTTGTCCAACCACTGACACTGTTCTACTTGGGTGAGGACAGGGTTCAGGGATGCTCTGTGTTAAGGGGAGGTTAGGTCTGGAAAATGGTCGAACCGGTCGACATCCTTGGCCATTACTGACCTGATGGAGGACATTACAAGTGCCATGGATGGAAAGAAATATACGATAGGAACATTTATTGACCTAAAAAAGGCATTTGACACAATCAACCATGAATTATTAATGTGCAAGCTAGAAAAATACGGGATCAGAGGAGTGGCTTTGAATTGGATTAATAGTTATTTGAC